AGTGATCAAATGGTACAAATGTAGAGGTCAAGAAAACAGTTTCCATACCTGCAAATTATGGCATCTGGGTTCCAGTAGCTTAGACCAAGAATGATGACCTCACAGACATAGGGTTCCCAGAGCAACTTAACACCTTCAGCAATGACATGCAAGTTTTGAATGGTTTGATAGATACCCAGTCTGATCAGATACATGTAAACATTGTAAACTTTGGAGAACTACCTGTAAAACTGTAAGCAAGAACTACAATTGGTAAATGCAGGAACACATATTTATTAGACCAGGGTACCTTACCACAGAGAGTCTTAGTTCTTCAGGGAACCAAAGAAAATACAACTCCTGAAAAAGATTTACCAGAACATCTCCTGGACATGTTTGAAAGAAGTTCGATAAATCTAGACCGAGAACAGAAAGATGCTTTCTTTAAACTACTCCTACAGCACAAAGATGTATTTTCCAAGACACCAGATCATCTTGGCTGCACTGGTATAATAAAACACAGGATAGATATAAGAAAATGCATGCATGTGCTTGCGCACACAGTGTGTTAAATGACATATAGTTGATATCATTGTAGCTTTTATAATTCTTTGATGAAATCCTTCGATACTGATCATATTTTAAAAATGTCTTACAGAAATTATGCACAAAAAGGGAGTTGCGGAGCGTTGGGGGAACATCTGTAACGGTCCCTGTTACAATTAGCACTAGTTTTATGTATTCTATTTCCATTTGTTAATTTTACATAGTTTTACTTGTTACAAAGTTGTACGGTAGCTTGTGTGGTAAAAGTAGTTCTGTGTGGGAACTTGTGTGGGAACTCAGCTTCCCGTACAAGCTGATGATTGGTTAATAGTTCATACGGCATAATTTCATTGGATAATTTGAGTCATGTGACAGGGAATAGGAGGTTATACAAGCAAGCCCGTACTACGCTACGACAGATTTCAGCTAACTGTATGGCGGCAACATTTGAAAACTGAAAGAAAGAAAACAAAGACGGTGAGATACTTATAATGTTATTTACATAGTGTTTTCCCTAAGAACCAGCTACCGGCCAAATTGACCGCTTTGATTGACAAAAATGCTGCTTGGAAATAAAAATTTGTTGTTAGATCCACAGATATTTTGTTCATAAACCTCAGCCCCTAGCCTGTTACAACTTATCTCTAACCCTTTACTTTGAAATAAAGGGAAAACACTGACATATATATATATTTAGCCTAGTTAGAAATCTCCTATCACACTGGATGACCTAAACTTGTGTTTCTGAAGAATCAGCCATGTTTTTATATTGATATTTGTATATTGCCTGTATTGCTATGTAGTGATGGAACGATTGTCGCCGACAATCGATTGTCGGTCGTTGGAAGCTCTTCGATGCTACTAATCGATTATAAAATAAATGTCGCCGACATCGCTAACAAAAAATAAAATTGTCATACTTTAATTTTATTACCAAATCCATGTGCAAAGAGCATAAAAGTAGTGATGAACGTTGAAAACATGGAAGGATATTGATACTTTTACCGCCATGATTAAATATGGGGTTAGACTAATACCAGGAAACGCTAATATTGCAAGGTTTTACTATACAAAGGAAACCATAATTAGTCTAGTCAATCTTTAAACGTAATTATTATCATAAATACAAGTCTAACTTCTGGATAATTACTTTTAAGACTTGCAATTTTATTATTTTAACTAATTAAAACTAATTTTAAGAAAAATATACATGTATTAAATGAAAGGTGGGACTAATATCAGTAAAATACCCATTGCAATGACTTTATAAAAAAAAAAATAAATTCCCATTCTGTTAAAATAGTCTTATATAGTCCTATATTGTTTAAAGTAAACAAAATATTATTTTCCACTTTTTATAAAAGAAATTTCAATTAACATTTTTGAATATTTTATGTAAGTAAATTTTTTTTTGTAAAAGTCTGAAAGAAATCTGAATAAGTTTCAACTTTTCTATATTAATTTTATTAAAGTTCAAAATTTCGATTATAATCGATTATTAATCGATTATGCCCAGCCGATTATTACCGATAATCGATTCAGATTTTTTTCCGATTCCCCATCACTATTGCTATGATAATGAGATGCTGCACATACAATAAATGATGAGTATGACTGATCAATCATCTTGAGTATCATTCAACATAGTATCTACACAGAGTAGTGCCTGGTTTAATGTATATAAGAACAAATTAATTACTGGTACATCCTGACAAAAGAGAAATTATTTAGATGATTAACTATGACCTATAGATGCTGAGGATTTAGAAATACTAGCCACCCCTGGGGTAGCTTACAGTATTAATGAAAAATTTTAAAACTATAATCCAGAAAATTCAGAGAAGAAATGTTCGAAAGCAAAAGATACACACAGTATATTGTCAGTCCATGCAGTTGTGGTGAGCAGACTTTTAACAAGATGCGAGTTTCTAGATTGTAACTCTCCTATGATAGAGGTGCAAAAAGTATTCATTTCAGCATGGAGGTGGGACAGGTTGTTTCTGTATACAAACGTGCATAAATAAGTGAACGATATTTATGGCTTTAAAAATTTATTAAATGTTATTGAAAGATAATAATGTTAAGCAGTGATGCATTTGATGATTTTATCAAGCTCAACTATGCATATTTACAAATCTACTTTCAATTATAATTGAAAGTAGATTTGTACTTGAAAATGAAAGAAACGTCATAGTTTTTATAAAAAGTAACCGATTTTCTTCATTGTACAAACATTTTCTAAAAAGTTAGTGTTTTTTTAAATTAAAATAAGGAAAAGAATCAATATGTCATTTAGATTGCTGACGTGCAATGATCAGATGCATGTGTACCGCATCTATTAGGGATCCATTTCTCTTCCCTCATTTGAAAAGTATCACATCCACTGATATTGTCTTTTTTGTTACGATTTTTTGCTTTAAAAATGATGCCTTTAATTTGGTTATTCTTGAGTTGTAGAGTGCATCCTGACAATCATGTAGTTATGATAAACCAGTATATCGATGATGCAAAGTATCCATTATCCAATATATAAATATCTGTCCCACCTGTCTGTTTACATGGCAACGAAACTCCCTTTCTCAACGAAAGAGCGCACCAAGGGAGATAATCTTGAAACTTGCATATTGAACACACCCAGTGAATCGTAAACATTAACAATAACAGAGCTCCTGCCCTGTTTACAAAAAAACTGTGTATGTTTCACGGGTGTGTTCAATTTGCTAAACTCTGTATGTACATAGCACTAAGCAAGCATGGAATGACGATACCTGTGAAAGGGTTTCGCTTTCGAACATTTCTATACTGAATAGTGAATATAGTTATTTTTCTGGATTAAAGTTTTAATATTTTTCAGTAATGCACAACAAGATTGCCACTTTTCCTAAGTATCAAGAATAAAATCAAAATTTGTGAAAGTGCAAGGATATGTCAATCAAACCCATCCAAAAATTTAAAGTTTTATAAATCAAGCAAATTTTTCTGTGAAACTTTGCCAGAATTCCTTTGCTATCCAATAACCTTTGCGCAAATAAATAAATGAATAATAACTTAAAGCATAATTAAAAGGCTTTCAGTTTGTAGAAATCTTTGAAAGAAACAAAAAATAACTCTGCAATATCTTCCGACAAAAATTGCACTAGGTCTATAGCTTCAACTAGATGCTCGGCTGTTTCGTAAACCCGGACGAGCTCTCGTGTGACGTCACAGTCTAGATGTCTTGTGCAACTTGACGTTTGAAGTGGCAAATCACCGTTTCAGGTGAATTTCTGAAGGTACAACTGCGCTCGTCCCAACAGTCACACCGTAAAACATATTTTATTTTTGTGTGAAATGCTATGACAATATATAAGTCGTGATATTATACAGAAAATATTAACTTCAAATCTGTGCCTATGCACCTGTAACAGTTACTACATATATTATTCAATTTTACAAATTTTTCCCCTTTATCATGCATATTTAATTCCCAAACGTTTAATTTTCTCTGTAATTGATCTAACATGAAACGTGAACCTTGAAAGTAATTATCTCTCTTTTTGCAAATAAAATCAAAAATCTAACAAATATGAACTCTTCAGACATCTTTTATGTACCATTTCAAAGTATTGATATAATTGCCATACTTTCTAAAATTTTGCACGGACAGTTTTTGTTGACCCATAAAAAATCGAAATTTTTTGTGTATCTGTGCATTCGCGCACTTTTTCTTTCTTTCATTAACTTCATTTTTCGTCAGAAATGTACAATGGAACTCGCGATATAATGAGAATCGAGTATACAGTGTACATTAAGACTCACGTTTATTTTCAACAATTCAAAAACCAGAATTAGAAAAAGAATCTTGATCAACAATCATAAGCATTTTTCTTCTTTCAATTAGTTCAATGTATTGCATTCCCATTACGTAGAACACTCAGTCACCAAAACCAGCAGGTGCTCGCCATGTTTTACTCTTAAGGTCAGACGACACGTTCCTCAAAAATATATAATTTTTCCTAAGAATTTGTCATTGAAGTGTAGGTACTTAAACAAGTTTCCTCACAAAAAATTAGGGTACCTTACCAGGCATTTGGCCAAGATACCATAGGGTCATATTTCTTATATAACCCATATGGGTAATCTTCTAAATTGCCTATAACACTATAAACACAATTTTTGGTGTCCCTATATTTAAAAACATTTTGAAAACAATGTAGAAATCAGAAAAGAATGACAAATATGAAAAAATTTTGATATAATACCAAGAGATACAAAACATATATTTGAGGAACGTGTCGTCTGACCTTAAATTTTTATAGAACAAAAAACGTCATGTGGCATGGATAGTCTCGTGCAGATTGACTGTGAAGAGGCGGGATCAATTATAGAAGTGTAAGCTGTGTTAACATCTGCGCTTGTCCCAACAGTTAGGCACGCCCAACAGTCGTCACAATATAAACAAATTTAAAAAGATATTTGAACATATAAATGCGTACTTATAATATACTTCTCCCAAAGGATTCCAGTCCGCTGTTGCCATTTCGTCTAATATATTTTGAAGTTCTCCTCCCTCCGGAAAGTAAAAATACTGTATGTCGATCCCGACAATTCTGTTCCTAAAAATCAGAGTCACGAAAGTACTGATAAGAATTTAATTTAGACGTTTAATGAGAATAGATATGGATTACCGCATCCCTAAGAATTGCTTGATTTTTCACTGTGCTCAGCTGATCTTTAAGAAAATCAAAGTACTGAACAGCTGCTGAATGGAGGTCAGGCGCGGATCCAGGAATTTTTTTCAAGGGGGGGGGTGTTCCACTCCAATGAAAAAAAAATCCAACCCAGAAATTTGTTGACAAGCAAAAAAAAAAAAGTTATCTCGCCAAAACTTAAAAAAAAAATTCGTTTTCGTTGGGGGGGGGGGGGGGGGGGGGGAGGTTAGTCGGTGACTTCCAAATCTTCTTCTGAAGTTACCTATCATGCCTATGATCGACTTTTCATACCAACTTAATCATATCCAAGTTTTTGAGGGGGGGGGTCTGCATTTTCTAGGGAGGTCAAAGGTAACTTTTTACTTGGTTTAGTACATAAATTGAATAACTCTGCAAATTCCGGGGGGGGGGGTCCATCCCAAAGTTACATGTAACTGGCATATAACATGTATAAATTAAGTTATTATATATGTGCAAGATCAACGAGAAACAAAAATAAAAACCATTGGAAAGCAAAAAGTGAGCAACATGACTAAAAGATTTTGTAACCCACAGATCTGTGCCAATAGTGAAGATATTTGTATGCCCCCGTAAACGAAGTTTCGGGGGTATATAGTTTTTGTCGTGTCCGTCCGTCTGTCTCTCTGTCTCTCTGTCTGTCTGTTTGACCGCAAAAACTTTAACCTTTCCTATAACTTTTGATTTAGTGGAGCTATGACATTCATATTTCACATGTGTATTCCTTGTGACAAGACCTTTCTTTGGATACCACCAAATTTGACCTTTTGACATTGACCTTGGAGTTTGACCCACTTTAACACAAAAATTTTGAACTTTTACTTTGGCCATATCTTTTGAACAATAGAAAAAAGGTCATTTGTACTTGACATATGTAATCTTTGTTAAAAGACCTTTCATTCGATACCAACAACCTTAACCTTTTGACCTTGACCTTGGAGATTCCCGTACATATGAAAAAAAACTTTAACCTTAGCTATTACTTTTGAACAATAAATACAAGGGCTATCATACTTCACATATTTAATTCATGTGAAAAGACCTTCCATTGGATACCAAGAACTTTGACCTTTTGACCTTGACCTGGGAGTTTGACCTACTTTAAAAAGATTTTACTTTTAAATATGCATTTAATTTTTAGCGATATTCAATTTTAGCGATGTCAGCACCCTCGCTAACAATGCCAAAATTAAATCCTCGCTAAAAATTCTACTTATACGGTATTAGAGATGTTTCTGAGTATGAATTGAATCCGAATCTGAAAATGAATCTGAATCGTGATGGATCTCGATCCCAATTTGAAAACTATAAGAACAAGATGTGTTTGTGAAACACTGGTGCCCCCGTATGGCAACATAGCAAAGAGTAAACTTTCCTTAAATGCAAATTTAATATATTGATACCAACAGCAGGGTATTCTCACTGGAAATACAATGGTGAAATATGAAAGTAGGCGAAGGTTAAAGTTTTTTTTCTTAAGTACAAAAATCTTCAAGGTCAAGGTAATTGGTATCCAATGAAAGGTCTTGCCACATAAAATATATATGTAAAGTATGGAAGCCCTAGCCCTAACCATTCAGAAGTTATGACCAAGGTTAAAAAATTTTAAAAGTAGGTCAAACTCCAAGATATAGGTCAAAGGTTTTGCTATCAAATAAAAGGTCTTGTCACAAGGATTCAATACGTAATATATGAAAGCACTAGCCCTTACCCTTTAAAAGTAATGGTCAAGGTTTGTTTTTAAAAGTACGTCAAACTCTAAGGTCAAGGTCAAAGGGTCAAGGTTCTTGCTATCCAAAAGAGGGTCTTTTTACAAGAATTACATAAGTGAAGTATGAGAGCACTAGTTTTTAGCTTTCAAAAGTTACAGCGAATGTTAAAGTTTTTGCACAAGCACAAAAATCTCCAAGGTCAGGGTCAAAAGGTCAAGGTAATTAGTATTTAACGAAAGGTCTTGCCACATATAATACATATGTAAAGTATGGAAGCCCTAGCTTTAACCGTTCAGAAGTTATGACCAAGGTTAAAAAAAAAATTTAAAAGAAGGTAAAACTCCAAGATCAAGGTCAAAGGGTCAAAGGTCTTGCTATCAAATAAAAGGTCTTGTCACAAGAATTTAAAAATATATAAAGTATGAAAGCACTAGCCATAACCCTTTAAAAGTTATGGTCAATGATTGCTTTTTAAAATTTTTAAATTAGATCAAACTCCAATGTCAAGGTCAAAGGGTCAAAGTTCTTGGTATCCAATGAAGGGTCTTTTCGCAAGATACCAAGAACTTTGACCTTTTGACCTTGACCTTGGAAATTTTTTGCACTCGTGAAATAACTTTAAAGTTGGCTATTACTTTTGAATGGTAAGTGCTAGGGCTTTCATACTTCACGTAAGTAATTCTTGTGAAAAGTCCATTTATTGGATACCAAGAACATTGACCCTTTGACCTTGACCTTGGAGTTTGATCTAATTTAAAAATACAACCTTGACCATAATTTTGAAGAGTTAGGACTAGGGCTTTCATACTTCGCAAATCTAATCCTTGTGACAAGACCTTTCATTTGATATCAAAAACCTTGACCCACTGACCTTGACCTTAGAGTTTGACCTACTTTTTACAAGATTTAACTTTGGCCATAACTTTTGAACAGTAGGGGCTAGAGCTTTCATATTTCACATATGCAATCCTTGTAACAAAACCTTCCATTGGATATCAAGAACTTTGACCTTGGCCTTGGAGTTTGACCTACTTTTTACAAACTTTAACCTTGGCCATAACTTTTAAACGGTAAGGGCAAGCGCTTTCATACTTCCCATATGTAATCTCTGAGACAAGGCCTTTCTTTAGAAACCAACAACCTTGACCCCGGAGTTTATCCTATCTTTAAAAATGTTAATCTTGGTCATAACCCTTGAACAGGTGGTGCTTGTGTTTTATATTCACATTTGTATTTCTTGTGAAAAGGCCTTACTTTAGGTATCAACATATTTGATCTGCATTTGAGAAAGCTTAACCTTCACTATTTTGCCATACGGGGGCATCAGTGTTTCATAAACACATTTTGTTTACTTGTATGATGAAGCCCTAGTTTTAACCGTTCAGAAGTTATGACCAAGGTTAAAAAAAATTAAAAGAAAGTCAAACTCCAAGGTCAAGGTCCGTGGGTCAATGGTCTTGCTATCACATGAAAGGTCTTGTCACAAGGATTAAATATATAAATTATGAAAGCACTAGCTATAACCCTTTAAAAGTTATGGTCGAGGTTTGCTTTTAAAAGTAGGTCAAACTCCAAGGTCAAGGTCAAAGGCTCAAAGTTCTTGGTATCCAATGAAGAGTCTTTTCACAAGGATTACATATGTGAAGTATGAAAGCCCTATCTCTTACCGTTCAAAAGTTATGACCAAGGTTAAAGTTTTTTCACAAGTACAGAAATCTCCAAGGTCAAGGTCAAAAGCTCTTTCAACAAAGATTACATATGTGAAGTATAAATGTCCTGGTATCTACTGTTCAAAAGATATAGCCAAAGTAAATGTTCGAAATTTTTGTGTAAAAGTGGGTCAAACTCCAAAGTCAAGGTCAAATTTGGTGGTACCCAAAGAAAGATCTTGTCACAAGAAATACACATGTGAAATATGAAAGTCATAGCTCCACTAAATCAAAAGTTATGGGCAAGGTTAAAGTTTTTGCGGACAAACAGACAGTCAGACAGACAGACGGACACGACAAAAACTATATACCCCCGAAACTTCGTTTACGGGGGCATAGAAATATCAAAATAAGAATTTTTCTAAATTATACAATGAATAATGATAGTATAAGGTATTTGATATTTTTCTGTGATTTACGAATTATTTTTTTCACTTGTGTGACGACAGAGGAATTTACGGATTTTAATTTGAAAAGTTTTTGAGCCTTATCCCCCTTCTGGATTTACCTGTTCAGATTTTGGTCATTTGGTTAAGACGAACAAATCAAATTATATAGACTGAAAAAGAGAACAGGAACCCATTTAACTCAATGGAAAATTAAAGAACAGGTACCCATTCAACTCAATGGAAAATTAAACCTGCTCGTAAAGTATTATTATTTCATATTCAGCTATTTACGTGATCGTTCCTCGCGAAAAGCATATTATATGCTCTTTTTTTCTTTAAATCTGTTTAAATATTTATATATGTGTCGCTTTATATTTTTATAGGTAATTGAAAATTATGTCGGATAAATAACTTGTTCAGTAACCATATGACCGCTGCATACCAATAATTTTCTCTGCAAATTTTCTGCGATTTCCATTGTACATATATCTAAGAGTTATTAGTACAAACTTTTTCTTTCATTTCTCTGAAACTCCCTTTGATTGGTGAAGAATGTAGCTTGTAAATATTGGAAGTAAAACTTAACTTGTCTCACACATCTCAGTGATTTAAACCTTGTATCCTCCTGATTTCACCTTCTTACTATATTTAATACGATTCTTTCGAGAGACGAATTTCTAGTTACATGTACATGTAGGTGAACAATATTCTTAAATTTAATACAAAATTTATGTTTTATTTCGTATGTATTGAATAAACATTTATTACTACAAGTAGTAAGTAATGTATATTCAATACGGAATGGGACACAACTGAACCAAAGATAAAATACTTAATGAGCCAAAAAGGTCTTTAGACTTCATAAGTGAGGACCATAACCATAATGTTGATCTGAATACATTATGAAATACATGTTTATAATGGCAAAGTTAAGGGGAGTGGTTTGATACTGGCCTCCACTTCTTCTCACTTAAATACATTTTAAATACACACTCCCAAGCCCCTGACAAAAATAAATCAAACTGGCATACTTCATAAATTCT